CTCCCCAAAACCCCAAAACCCCAAAACCCCTGATTTAAACTCCAAGATTGGAAAGGTAATATTAATAAATTAGCACTCAAATGGCAGAGAAAATCTCAACTCTGTTGTTGTATCTAGTCATGGTGGGCATGTTGGTCACTGGCAGTCTAAATACTATCTTTGTTAAGCTGCAAAATCTTGAGGAAGTAGTAGTCAAAACAACACTACAGATAGGTGCAGAAAGAGATAAAGCAGTTAGCCCTCAGAAGAAGGAGTTTAAGCATTTAGAAGTAGAAACAGTTAATAGTCTTGCTTATTGTAAAGACACTGAGGGAAATACTCAGCAGTTCAATCATGCATTTTTCCAGACTTTTTTGATGTTTGTAGCTGAGTTCATTTGATTGGGAGCATATGGAGTCATTTATTGGATTGACAAGAAAAAGTATGGAGATGCCAGCTTAAAGCCTGAAGTAGTGCAAGCCAGAAAGGCAGGCTTAAAGACTAATGTCAATGTGTGAATCTTAGCTATCCCTGCAATTTTGGATATAGTAGCTACATCATTGAACTTTATGGCATTGACAATGATTCCAGCAAGTGTTTTCCAGATAATGTCTGGCTTAATTGTGTTCGTTGCAGCCTTGCTAAGTATTATCTTCTTGAAGAGGAAATATCACCGCCATCATTGGACAGCCCTTATTTTTGTTGTAGGAGGTGTTGCCATTGCTGGAGCAAGTCCGATAATTTTTGACAAAACTAACGATGAAGACGAAGAGGGATCAAGCATAGTCTTTGGAACTATATTAGTAGTGATTGCTCAAGTAGTTGCAGGAGCTTTCATGATAACTGAAGAGAAATTACTAAGTAACTATTATCTTCACCCTTTGAAGATCGTTGGATGGGAAGGGTTCTGGGCAACAGGAATTTATATGATCCTTCTGACCATTTTCCAGTTTATTAGATGAGACAGCGAAGATATTTGCCCTCATGGAAGACTCGAGGATACTCCACAAGCATTTTATGAAATGGGCAATAGCCAAGGTATTCTATGGTTTGGAATAGGAGCAGTTCTGAGTAACTCAGTCTTCAATGCTTTGGGGGTTTCAGTTACAAAATATGCAAGTGCAGCTCAAAGGTCAACTATTAATATGAGCAGAACTGTTTTAATTTGGGCTGTATTTCTCCTCAAAAAAGGCAACGGCAAGGAAACCTTCATGTGGCTCGAATTTGTCGGGTTTATCCTGCTTGTTTTTGGAACTCTAATGTTCAATGAAATCTTGGTAATGCCATTTTGTGGCTTTAATACCAATACAAAAGAAGCTAAAGAGAAAAGGTTGGGAGAATCAGATTCTCCGAAGGAAAACTCTGAAGTTGAACCATTGAATAAGACATATACTGCATCAAGATATTCTGACAACGAAGAGAAGGACAACCTACCTTAAGGCTTTCCAGATGATGTAGATTTATATGTAATGAAAAGCTCGAATAAAATGCTATTTGTTAATTTCAAAGTTACATTAAAAATTTCTACTTTAAAATAAAATAATTAATTTGTATATTTTCTTTGTAAATCCGATTTAATCTGAAATAATAGAAATCATATACATCATTCTTTTTTTAATTATGACTTCAAAAGGTCGAAGAACTCAAAGCGCCATCGTCTCTTGATGCAAGTGTCAAGATATTCCAAGACCTTTAAAAATACCTAATGTAAAAATCTTAGAAAAGAGTTTTGAAAAAGATTAAAAATGATGGAAATTAGAATGTATTCTCCAAATAAAAACCAAGAAGCTAATATTTAATAAAAAAGTAAATAGAAATTAAAGTAATTGGAATCTATTCATGGTCTATTATTACCAAATTCTGTGTTTATTAGCTAACTTCTGGTGTACTGCGATATCATTAGTCAAAGTCTACACCAACTTCAGCCCTACCACCTGACGTCTCCCTTTAAAGCTAATTTTCTTCTGGAAAGAGGGTAAATTTTTATTGGTTCTTCAAGATATTTTGAAGAAAGTGTTACTAATACATTTGTTGAACACTACCTTTCAACACTCCGAGGATTAGATGGGGTTTTGGGGTTTTGGGGTTTTGGGG